TTGGTGGAGATGCTGTGCACGTCGCTACGTTTACAACGACTACTTACACCGTTGCTGAGAACGGCTGAAGCGTGATGTGCATGGGTGGGAGTGACATTCAAAACCCATGCATCCCACTCTTCAGCAATTCAAGTCCGTTTAAGCCGTTATGTTTTCTTGAAGACATAATCCGCGTTGATCACATGGGTGGAGTCTCTTCCATCCACCGACGCTGTTCTTATTGGTGCAACCATTCACTTGAGGAGCCCAGAACGAGGGTTCAATCAGTAAGATAAGGGTGTTGTTCAAGTGAATCCGCCCATGATCATAGGGGAATGTGACTTCAAGCAGTATCTAAAAACTGGCTCAACCTTTATCCACAGGCACATCTGCCTTGTTCTCCTTCTCAGCAGACGGTTTACTCTCATCATCCTTCTTGGCCTCGTCCTTTGATCCTTCCTTTTTGGCCTCGTCCTTTGATCCCTCCTTTTTCGCCTCGTCTTTTGATCCTTCCTTTTTCTCTTCTTCTTTCTTCTCTTCTTCCTTATTTTCCTGCTCCTTCTTCTCAGGTTTCTTCTCCTCCTCTTTCTTTTCGTCTTTCGATTCTTTGTCTGCTTCTTTCTGGAAATCATTCACCACGTTTATGCTTACTTATTTTTTTTGGGCAGGAGGTGGCGTAGTGACAAGCGGCGCGCTCACCACCCGGCGGGAAGTCCGAGTCGACTTCCCGCCTAGACCAATCGAGCCTTCTACTCTCCAGAAACGGTAGAATTACAACCAAATTTGTCTGGGAGGATAATAATACTGACTTGCACAGTCCTCATCATTGCGGACTGTCGGGGCGGCTGAGCCGCGCTGCACTGTGACGCGACAGCGGCTCGGTGACGGCGAATCAGCTGATTTCCATGGAATTCGGCTGCGAATTCCCACTTTTTCAGCTCTTCAAGCTTCGAAAGTGGAAGGTGAGTTATTTGAACAATTTTAAATTGTACTGGCTCTGAATGAATCAGAAGAATGCACCCATCCGAATAAATGCCTAAAACAAGGTAAAATACAAGGAAAAAGAGCATAAATAATAGACATAAAAAATAAGGAAAAGGAGCCAGTACATTTAAAAATGTTCGGAATGACTCACCTTCCACTTTCGAAACTTGCAGAGCCGAAAGAGGGAATCTGCAGCTGAATTTTATCGAAATCTAATCTGATTAGCCGTCACCGACTCATCATTGCGTACTGTCGGGGCTTACCCGCCCCGACAGTACGCAATGATGAGGACTGTACATCGGCCGCCCCCCCCCCCAGTCATTGTATAGGCCACATCGCATTCAATAAGCCACTACGATTCTTGAATGGAAGTAGAATGCGTCACACAGAGGGATTGAGCAGCGGCGAAGACATTATCCTTATCCTTATTATTATTTTTTTTCTTTTTCAGGATAAGTTTATTCTCAGTAGTTGTCTGTACCTGTTCAGCTTCTTTACTTTCGTCTTTCTTATCCTTTTCCTGAATAAGATGCAGTATGATTGATGAAAACGAGATTCTCGAGTCTGTTTCACCTTTGTTCCAGGGGCTTCCCCACTAGATGCCTTAGCCGCCTTATTCGCCTGACTGCTTCCTGCAGCACTCTTTCTATCCTTGTTCTAAAAATATGTACACAATACTGCTGGACACTTACTCGAGCGTCACCCTCAAGTTTTTTTCGCTTTCGATCGAAGCATTAAGAGTTCTGGATAAATCTTACCTTGTTTCCTTTTTTGCAAGAAAGTATGAGTTGAAGAAGTAATAATATTTGAAAAACCACGTTTACAATTATCACCATCATCACTAAAATGACTATATTCAGAGATTCGATTCAAACGTGAAGGCAGAACCCAGGTCATAGATTATAACTGTCTGAGATCATCGTAGAAAAGGTAGTGTGGATTGCCACGAACAACTCTACATGAGTTTTACGTCAGGAGGTGGTAAGGTTTATAGTGACGGGAAGTAGCGGGTAGCTTAAGTGACTCCTCCAACAGGGATAGAGTTCTTGGTTATGCTCTTCTTTGCTTGCATGCCCTCTATCTGCTTTCTCTGGCCTCTCTCCAGATATCAACATAACTGTTTTTCTTTTACATGTCACGAATAGGGCCTTATTTGAAGTCTCATCGGTTTCCCTCTCTTTTTTTCACCAGGAAGCCAGTTAGCACATACAACTCTGTTTCTCAACCCCAATACCTCCGCACTTTTCGCTGGCTAATCACGAAGTTTGCCTTCAAACACAGCTCGTGTTATCCACAACTTGTGCTTGGATGCTCCCTATGAAATTACAAAACGGGCACTGCAGTGAACAATTTGCGCCAGCTTTCGCATCAGAAATCGGTATAAAGGGATGTTAAGATGCAAGGTTGCTCAAGTGACTCCACCTCAGGGCAGGTGACTCTGTCCCCCGCCCATGTCTGTCCGTTTCTGTTCTGTTCCGTTTGTGTGCTTCGAAGCTACTTTTGTCTCGCCTTTGTAATGAAACTCTAGTACTCCTTCCTTTCGCCTAAAGCCCGCTGCAACGAAAACGGCCCTACTGGCGGCGTTCCCGTCAAATCCGCTGCCTTTTGGGGTTGAGTCAACTAGCACATACCTTTTTATTTTTTAACCCCTACAGCAACGAACAACAACGGAGTGTGTCTTCGAGTCATCCTAAGCGCTTGCGATTTCGTTGGCGCTGTCACTTTCTTACTAGGGTAACGGGAGTAATAGTAGAATGTGAGCACTTACTCGGTTCTTCGGATGGTTTTCACTCTGCTGGGTACTGTGCTGGTTTCCAACTATTTAGGTCTCACCGAGTGAATGGTCCATTCTTCCGACACGGTTTCGCCTCACAAAAGCGCTGGCGACAACAGTCGCCGCTTTGTAAGCTGACCGAGCGGCCTTATCGTGTCGCGCTGCCCCCCTCCCCCCCCCCCCCCACCTTTTTTTGAGGAACGTTAGGGTCCCCGTCATTAGTGCTTCACTCTGAAGAGGAGATGCGCCTACATACAGTCCTATGCGCTGCGGAACAAGGAAGGACCAGGCCTCTCAACCAGACGTCAAATAAAAGTTACTATCGGTAGAAGACCGATTCTTCAACCTGGTGAAGTCTTTAAAACCATATTTTGCTCTGATTAAGTGGATGGAGCCGTTCGTACTGCTGCGTTCCTTTCACTGCCTTAGTTTCTTATGAAATGGCAGTGTGCTACAGTTTTGTTTGCAGCGGATGCAGGAAAGCCAGGTTTGGCGCCTGCCGAAGCGGACAAGCTAATAGCCGAGTTGAAGAAATGAATGATGCAGCGGCAAACCCGGACCCCAGGATACGCCCTAGCATTCTCAGCGCGGCAAGACTACAAGCCTGTCTGTGTGTTTGTGAGTCTTTTTATCACGAAATTCGTAGCGCGGTTGAAATCAGTAGCGGGGTAATGGTTCTATAGAGCGTGTGACGCGGACACATTCATGGTTTTTAGGGCGTAAGAACAACCTGCGAGCTGACAAGGCGTCTTATTTACGTTAAAGACACATAGTACGCTCACACACATTGAGGGTGTATGAGACTATCAGCCCCCCAGCTGTCGATGTGTCGTGGTCCCCCCGCCCAAACATGCCCAGGAATGGAGATACAGGACCGTGAAACACGCTAATTCCTCCATGCTCCGCCTTACACCTTTTCCTTCATAACATCCGTCGTAAGCGCGCGTGTCGCGTGCGGCTCCTTGGCACTTTGCCAAGTCCTTTAATTG